GCAACTATGACATACAACTATCTACTAGGGCTTTGGGGGAAAAAAAAAGGAGGAGTATTGGCAATAGATGTTAGCTCAGAGCCGGTCTTCCTCAGCAAAAAGAGGAGGATTAGCACGGATGTTAGCTCAGGGCTGATCTTCCTCACACACACATAAACACACACAAAAGAAAATCATTGAACACACTTTATCTATCAAGCATCATAGCTTATCCTAGCCTACCTTTATTATTATTATTTTTTTGATGAGGAAGATCAGCTCTGCGCTAACATCCATGCCAATCCTCCTCTTTTTGCTGAGGAAGACTGGCCCTGGGCTAACATCTGTGCCCATCTTCCTCCATTTTATATGGGACACCACCACAGCATGGCCTGACAAGCGGTGCATTGGTGCACGCCCGGATCTGAACCCGGGCCGCCAGCAGCGGAGTGCATGCACTTAACTGCTATGCCACAGGGCTGGCCCCTATCCTAGCCTACATTAAACATGTTCAGAACACTTACATTAACTTACACTTGGACAAAATCATGTAACACAAGGCATTGAATATCTCATGTATTTTATTGACTACTGTACAGAAAGTGAAAAACAGAATGGTTATAAGTGTATCAGTTGTTTACCTTCATGATCGCGTGGCTGACTGGGAGCTGCGGCTCACTGCCACTGCCCAGGATCATCAGAGAGTATTGTACTGCATATCGCTAACCCAGAAAAGATCAAAATTCAAAATTCGAAGTATAAGTTGTCAGAAGTTGAGGACCGTCTGTATTTTGTTACAGCAGTCTGAAGAACTAAGACATGTTGGATTAGGGCCCACCCTAATGACTTCATTTTAACTTGATTACCTCTTGTAAAGACTCGATTTCCAGATACATGACATTTAGAGGTACCCGGGTAGGATATACATCTTTTTTTGTGGGGACACAACTCAACCGACAACACGAAGACTGAGAGAGTTTACTTCTCAAAGACTCTTTCTGAAAGAATCTACTGAAGGATTTACTTCATCGAGAAGGAAATTAAACTCAGGAGGAAGGAGTGGTATGCAAAAAGGAACAATGATCAAAAAAACTGAGAGAAGACTCTTGCCTAAGGTCACATTGCTCTTAAATAGTGTGGTCAGTACTTGAACCCAAGTTGTCTGACACCTTAGCCCAGGCTCTTAACTTTTACATTGCACATATCTCTATGAGGAATGTTTCAAAATCTCATAAGGTAATGTATAGGAAAGTATCTGAGACCTGCTTTGAATTTTAATATTCAGTCATTATTTATTGATCATCTCTAATGAAGTTCTAAGACAATCCCAGAGTAGAATTAGGCCCTTTTTTTCTTTCCCAAATTACAGAGTGATGACAAATTTTCTTCTGAAGAAGAATTCATTCTCAACAAGTGTTTATTTTGTATCCCTTCCCTGTGATGCACTGTGATAAGTGTTCTGGGTATAAGTGGTGGGGGAACCACTATCCCACAGATCTTGATTTTAAGGAGCTTACAGTCTAATAAGATTTTTTTTTAAAGGTAGAAAGTGTCATGTGCTTTGAGAGAGGAACAGATGTAGTCTTGAGGAGAGTTCAGAGGAGGGATTATTTTTGGTCTCCTCCATTGGGCTGCACCTTGAAAGACAAACATGACAATGCTAACTACATCAGCTTAACTACAACTATTTATTGAGTACCTACTGTGTGCATGGTGCTATGCTTGGAGCTTTTCATCTTGATCTTATTTAATCCTCACAATAACTTTGTTAGGTCAGTATTGTTATTCTCAAATTAAATAAGGAGATATACTGTATTGCCATACAACTAGCCAATGGAACCAGACAGACCTAGGCTCAAGGTAGACCAAATCTTAAATTCAGATCTTGCTGGTTCCAAATTCCCTGCCCTTTCTCTTTCCTCACAAGTTTTTAGAGTAGGTAAAACATCCATTTCTTTCATTTCCAAAGTCCAATACTATCCATCCTTCTGGTTCAAATGCCGGGTCTTTTACAGAAGATTCTCAAAATGGGGTCTGCAGACAACTTGCATCAGGTCATAAAGGGAGTTTGCAAAACTACAAAATTTCCAGGCCCCAATCTGAAAGATTCTAAATTAAGTTTGGGATAAAGACCACAGAATCTGTATTTTTTTTCACAAACTTATTTGGCCTCTTTTCAGAACCACGTGTCTAGAAAGTCTTCCAGGAGCGTTCAGTACAAATAAGTTCTTTGGAAGAACACTTCAGGGGCCCACCTGGTGGTATAGTGGTTAAGTTCATGCACTCTGCTTCAGTGGTGCAGGCTTCGCAGGTTCAGAACCCAGGTGCGGACATATGCACTGCTCATCAAGCCATGCTATGGCGGCATCCCATATACAACATAGAGGAAGATGGGCAACAGATGTTAGCTCAGGGCCAATCTCCCTCACCAAAAAAAAAAAAAAACACGCACAAAAAACACTTCAATGAAGCCTTCTGGTCTTCATATTGGCATGCTTGAAGCTCAGGCTGATTCTTCCTCTTCCTGACAACACAGGAACTAGCTTGAAGGACCGAATGACTGAAGAGGTTTTGGCCGGATCCACATACATCCCAATTTAGCAGCACAAACTAAGCTATTTGTCAAAATGCTTAAAACCATACGCGAAATCTGCGCATTGTGCTCTGTCTGGAAGGATGTGGCGAAGCAAGCCAGGTCTGATCGCTCACGTGGGGAAAACAGACTCTGAATCGGAATCCCCAAGTTTCAAGGGATGCTAGCCCCAGAGCCAGGAGGAAACTCAATTAGCCCAACTCATGCGCAGGCGCAGAAGGAAAGAGGACTATCAAACCGCCAAGGCGCGCCCTTCCCGCTTCCTCTTTCTGGCCTTTTCCCACCGCGCAGGCGCAGAGAGTGAACCAAGATGGCGGCCCCCGTGGATCTGGAGTTGAAGAAGGTAAAGGAGGGTATTGAGCAGGCAGTGGCTTCTCTTTGGAAGCTAAGGGGAGTGTGGACAAGAATATCGAGTGAGGCTCGAGTCCTGCGGAAGGAAAGAGGCCTCAGGGAATTGGGGAGTGATTTCCCAGAGTCCTAAGGCGGGACCGGGTCTCCTTAGGCTGGAGTGGTGGGCGAGCGTCTCTAGCTGGATAAGAGCCGCTTGGGCTTGGTCTGGTTAAGTCAGGCGGGCCGTTAGCTGGCCTGTCCCCTCGTTCCGAGCTCCAGAGCCGTTTCGTTGCGCTCAGAGCCATCAGTTGCATCGTAAGGCCTGAAGTGAGCGTTTCAAATTGGAGCCCTTTCGGACGAGCCGAGGCATCTGTAATTCTGCATCCCCATCTGCTTTGAAAAACTCCCAGTTCCAACCTTGTGTTTTTTAGTCCACTTATTTGATTCCATCTTGAAAGGTCGTAGTATATACATACATTTCCGCGTCAGATATTCTCATAGCAATGTTCATCTCAGGGCTTTGTCTTCCACCCCCTTCCCCCTTTTTTTGAAGAACTTGTAAACTACAGAAACAAGTCCAGTAAAGTTTTCCAAATAAAATCGATGTCTGAAGGAATTGGGTTTCTCTCTTCAAACAATTGCTTATTAACGTGTTGTTACTTAAAAACGTTTTTGCCATCTGCGAGTTGTCAGGATTTTAACACCACTGCCGACCCAAAACGATATCCTTTTTTGGGGACGCGGGGACACAGGGATTGGAAAGGATGCTAGACTTCATCTACTTTAAACCTATACTTTTCTAGAAGAGGAAACTGAGTACCAGAAAAAATTCAGGCACAGGCTGAGAGTAGAATCCAGCATTCTCTGCTTTACTTCACACCTTTGACCATTAGTTTAGGTTTTTCAGAAAAGCAGATTTTACTAAAGACTGCCTTCTGGTCAACCTTTGCATAGCTCTTGCTCCTAATAAATGAAGCCGTTTGTAGGTATGTGTATGTGTCTTGCTTTTTGTCATTCCTGTTTGGAAACTTGTAAATTTAGCCCTTACCTGGTGGTGTCTAATGCAGTAATATCTCAGCTTTAACAATATACTAGCTTCCTTAGCAAACTATGTACAGAACAATCAGGTAATACCTATAATTTTACATGCAAAACAAAATTCATTTTAAGAATGCTTGAAGCATTCTAAAAGTTTAACTTTTTTTTTTATGTTAAAAATTCAAATTTAAGTCAGGGTTTAGTGAAAGAGCTAATAGAGTACAGCTGTGAATGGACTTGCCTCCCAGTATTATTTGGATTTGATGCTAAGAAACCTGTGGACAAAATGCATACTAAGAAAATGATTACAGGGCCGGCCCTGTGGCTTGGTGGTTAAGTGCGCGCGCTGCGATGCTGGCGGCCCGGGTTCGGATCCCGGGTGCGCATCGAGGCACCACTTCTCCGTTCATCCTGAGGCCGAGTCCCACATGCAGCAACTAGAAGGATGTGCAGCTACGACACACAACTATCCACTGGGGCTTTGGGGGGAAAAAATAAAATAAATAAAAAAAAAAAAAAAAAAAAGAAAATGATTACAGACTTAAATTGGATAGTTTTGACAACCAATTAAATTAACCATAAGAGAAACTTGTGGGGCTGGCCCAGTGGCATAGTGGTTAAGTTTAGGCACTCTGCTTCAGTGGACCACGGCCCCCGGTTCATGGGTTTGTATCCCTGGCAAACCTACACACCACTCATCAGGCCATGCTGTGGTGGCGTCCCACATACGAAATAGAGGAAGATTGGCACAGATGTTAGCTCAGGGACAATCTTCCTCACCAAAAAAAAAAAAAAAAAAAAGGAAACTTGTTGTTTAAAGGTTTTATCTTCTAATCTCTTTATAAGGTCTCTTTTTGGAGGGGGTGGAGACTAATAGGAAATTTCAGGTACCTCCTCTCTCCTCAAATAAATCTTTTTAAACTTTACTATTAGGTGAGACCAAAGTCAGAATAAAAGTTAAGTAGTAGACTTTGCCATGTATTGCAGTCACTAATGGTATTAGTAAGGCATAAATTTGACAGCAGGTGAAAGTTATTCCAGGCACTTCAACAAAAATATCCAAGATCTGTGTTTATCTTTGAGTTAAGTGTACACAAGGGTCAAATTTGGCTTGGTATGTGCATGTGAAGATCATGATAAAGTCTACCAATGCTTTGAAATTTTTTTCTCTTTTTTTTGTTTTTCTCTTAAAAATATATATATTCTGAATATTACTGTAGACAGTAGAATAGAAAGATTTCTGAACTAGGAGTCAGAAGAAATGAATTTAAGTACTGTAGCTGCCTTTCCACCTAATAGTTGTTAACCCTGTGCAAGCCATTTATACCTCTTTAACACATTTAGTTACTTAATTTGTAAACTATGATGATGAAACTGCCATCCCTGACCCGTAACATCATTGAGAAGAGTAAATGAGATTTTTTTATTATATCCCTCAATGCTCTCATATTAATATTCCAATGTTAATATTTCAAACAAATGTGGGAAAGTGCTATGAAACCTAGTTGTATAATGCAAATGTAGCAAGTTGTTACACTTATGATTCTTGTTTTCAGTCTCTGGGTTTCATCCTCTGACTGTTGCATTTATTGCTTTTATTATTCCTTGGGTACCTGCTACTTGATATGGTTATTATTTAATGTGCATTTGTTCTGCTGCTTCAAATAGATTGCTTCTTCTGAGGACAGGGTAAATTCAGTATTTAGCATAGTGGCTTGATCCTTTACAATTATATTGACTTTTGTTGGTGTTTGCTTTGGTAAATTTCACAGCTTTGTCTCTAGTTAGCATGCTTTATTTTTTTATTTATTTATATTTTTGTGAGGAAGATCAGCCTTGAGCTAACATCCATGCCAATCCTCCTCTTTTTGCTGAGGAAGACTGGCTCTGAGCTAACATCTATTGCCAATCTTCCTCCTTTGTTCCCCCAAAGCCCCAGTAGATAGTTGTATGTCATAGTTGCACATCCTTCTAGTTGCTGTATGTGGGACGCCGCCTCAGCATGGCTGGACAAGCGGTGCGTTGGTGCGCGACCGGGATCCAAACCCTGGCCGCCAGTAGCGGAGCACGCACACTTAACCGCTAAGCCACGGGGCCCTCCCCTGCATGCTTTATTTTAATATATTTGAATTTGACTTAAATGTTTCCTGTAAAATGTTTTACGTACTAAATTAAGGACTTGTTTTTATTAGGCTTTCACAGAACTTCAAGCCAAAGTTATTGACACTCAACAGAAGGTGAAGCTTGCAGATATACAGATTGAACAGCTAAACAGAACGAAAAAGCATGCACATCTTACAGATACAGAGATTATGACTTTGGTAGATGAGACTAACATGTATGAAGGTGTAGGAAGAATGTAAGTAAAAATATATCCTTAAGGGGATTATCTTGGGAGAGGTATTGTCTGAATTAAATCAAAGAATTTGTTCATTTTAAACTTGGGGTAAAGTATCATAGTAGCTTTAAAGATCATCTAGTCAAATACCTTCTTTTTTTAAAAATGAGAACCTGAACCCCAGATAGATGTGTATAATTTTAGACTTTGAAGTACATTTCTTAAATATTTCCCTGTTCTTCTCTTTATGATTAGGTAGTTAAGTGTGTAACTTCAATGATTAAAAATATGATTTGTCATGAAAAGATGTTTATAGTAATTTTGTGTGTGAAGATTTAAGTAGTTGTAGTTTTAACCTCCCTTCCCTACCTAATTTATTATGAGTCATACAAATCATAAATCTTTTAGATGTCTGACTAGTGTTATAAAATAAAAATAAAGATTCAATTGTTATATAAATATGCTCATTCTGTCTTACATGAGAAATCTAGTAAACCAATTTACCTTTTGTTTGTTCAAATTGTTAATGATTAACCACCTACACTTCACTTTTTTTCTTTTAAAAATATATTATTATCCTTATATCTGCTTCATGTTCTTTAAGCAGTATATAAGGAATGGCAGAGCTCCTAACTACAGGTCACATTCCATTACAATGAGCTAAAAGGAGAAGGCTGATTTTTTTTTTGTAAGTGGAGGAGGTACAGGAGGAGGGTTATTCTGGAATTTGGTCTTTGAATGTTACTTAGTAAGTGGACCATTACTTCAAGTTTGGAGGTCTTTTAGTTAGAATGGAATTTGACCTCAGTCTTAGGAGGACTTGTTTTGTGATTGATTTGAAGGAAGCATAACATGTGTAACATTTAGTAATGGCTTTGGGATGACATCATGAGAAGTAGACCCTGCTCATGACTAGCTAATCCATATCTTTCTCGAAAAGAGATAGATTGTGATCTGATTTGCTTTCTCAGAATAAACAATATACCACAAGTACATTTTGTCTCTGGAATTCATATTTTTCATTTTAGCTTGTTTTAAGAGAAAGAGAATCCCAATTTGAGAGTTTGTTACTGAGACACAGAAGAATTGAGATGAGAACAAGGTAGAATCCTTGAGTATGTGTCTATGTAGTATGAAGTGCATTGTTGGCATTCACTACAGGGTAATTTTGTCTTTAATGTGAATATCCTTAGGTCTTAAAACAGTAATGCTAGCTTTTCTAGCATGCTTGTTAACATGTTGCACTTGGATTTTACATCAATATGTTAGCCTTTGTCTGCAATAGCTAAAGAATCTCTTTTTCCAAAATAGAAAAACTCTTTGAACATCTTTGGCCTTTTGAGCTACAGTGAAGTTTTTATTTTTAAGTAGAATAATTTCATTTATTAAACATTCTACAGAAGTGATAGGAGACTGCTTTTTTTGCATACTGCCCAAAGTGCTATGGATAGGTTCTATTCCACACAAAGAATTTTGGAGTTTAATGCCTGGGATATGAATTAGTTAATGGTAGAATAGTAGTATTTTCAGAAGATTTATTTCATATAAATTATGTTTCTTAAAAGAAAGGTCTAGTTTTAAATGTTTGGATAAAGTGGGACTCCTTTTTGGTTTCAAACTTTGGTTTTAAATTTGACTTTTGTGCTTTCTGCAGCTCGCTGGGAGTGTGAATTTGACCCTGCATTGTAGGGGCATGTAAGGTGAATAGGGTTTGTTGTTTGACTAGAGTATTAGTGTCCTCAGGAAGAAAAGACTTGCTGAGTATTAGTGTGGTCATGAGGATGTTCTTTTTCTTGATGCTAAACCTGAAATATGTATTTCTGAACTTATAGTCTCGAGTAATCTTGAGTATCATTGTGATTCACTTCTTTAATTCTAGTCTTTACCTTAATTTAGCTTTTCTTTTCCTTTTTGAGTATTATTTGGGAATTCTAATTAGAATATTAATTGTTCTCAAACTGTTGTTTTATTTTTTATTTTTTTGTGAGGAAGATCAGCCCTGAGCTAACATCCATGCCAAGTCTCCTCTTTTTGCTGAGGAAGACTGGCCCTGAGCTAATATCCAGCCGATCTTCCTTCACTTTATGTGGGGCACCGCCACAACTTGGCCTGACAAAGCGGTGCATCGGTACGCACCTGGGATCCGGACCCGGGCCACCAGCAGCGGAGCGCACGCACTTAACCACTATGCCACGGGGCCAGCCCCTCAAACAGGTGTTTTAAAACCATGAATTATAAAATCCTATTAAACACTCCATTTTTGTGTTAGAATCTGCAGTAGATTTTTGCCATAACAGCAATTCGGGCCTCATTTTATCTTGCCTAGACTATTGCAATAGCATCTTTTTTTTTTTTTTTTTAAAGATTTTATTTATTTTTATTTTTCCCCCCAAAGCCCCAGTGGATAGTTGTATGTCGTAGCTGCACATCCTTCTAGTTGCTGTATGCGGGACTC